CACTCCAGTCTTCGATCTCTGGGTTCCTGGGTTTCGGGTCGGCCTGCGGCTGCTCTGGGGTTAACATGGTTTAACTCTGCGACTCTGCGGATTTGTATCGACTGTTAGCTTCGTGATCAGCGTCCGTAGCCGCAAGCCTCGGCTTTCAAAGCACGGCAGCACAGCTAAGATCCGAGTTGTAAAGGCCCAACATAGGGCTACAGCTCGGACCGGCAGGGTGGACTTCATCCTGGCCAGCCAGGGGCAGTGGTCCCGGCCATAGCTCAAGCTCGATTTGGGGCCACGACGCTGAAGAAGCAAACGCACACGGAAGCCCAGTCTCGCTACACGCATATTACGGCGAACACTTTTCTGAGTATGAGATGCAAGTTGAAACCAGGTTGGCCCTCAGAGGTTGCAGACAGGTCTTCTGTAGTAGTGGAGAATCGACTGTTGAGGTCCGTCGTGCAGGTTGCCGTCGACAGAGGAGGCATCCGGATCCTATAATCAGGATGCTGAGGTGCCTTCTATGGATATGGATTGTGGGACTGCCCTTCTTCGCCAGGCATGGGTTCTTGGGGATCTGCCAGCGATCATGCTCCCCTGATTGCCAATCTCATCCCGCTGTTTGCTTGATGATATCTGTTTCGATGGGGCCAAAGACCCCGCTTGAAGTTTTCAATCCGGCAGCAGGTCGAAGTCACAAGTATTTCGTTGACCTGTAGGACGCGATGGTCTCACGTCAATATCGGGCGTGCAAAGCGGAGTGTTCTGATGAAGCAAGCAGAGCACTGGAAAGCTTCGCTTCAGCGACTGGGACCGGTCGCCTGGTCAGGTCGAAGTTCCCGGCTTGACGTGCATGACTTTGGAGGCACTGACCTTCGGGGCAAACCGGCACAGGTTGCTCTCTGCCACTGGAGGTCCCCTCCGTCCAGAGCAAGGAGGCCTGGAACAGTTTCCTCCAGCTGTTCTCGCTGGGGGCCAAGAGCTGTGCTGGAGCCATTGCAGCAGATTTGTCACTTCGGAGGGTAATGTGAACACCACACCCGGCAGAACGAACCATGCATAGTTTTCTTGCAGGGTGCAGGCAGGTGGACTCTGATAGATGCTTGCCCTCTGCCCGGTAGCTTGGAGCGAGTCCATCTCGAGCAGATGTTTTGTAAGCACTGCACTTCTTTCAGAGCTCGAAGAACCCTTAGGTTGGCCGACGGCATCGTGATCCTGCGCATATCGGATGATGCGGAACATGATCAGGCAGGCTTGTTCTTGCGAAGAACCCAGAGCCAAACCACCTCGTTGTGGAGTTGCTGTTGGGAAGTCTCAACCTTCTGCGCCTGATGCTTGTTTGAACTCGGTGAGTTTGCACATTGTCCAAGTTTTTTAAACCGACTGCTTCCGTTGAAATCCTTCCCTTTGCTTCTCTTTTGCGCTTCTGTTACTTGCCAACGTCGCTGTGGCATGAGACGCTTGGAATCTAGTTAATAAGAGAGCAGTTGCTGAAGGACTGGTAAGTTTGTGCGATCAGGAAGGCTACGTGGCAAAGTCCCCACTGCTGGGTGAGGCGTCGGCACGGTGTTTTTGAGGTTGTCAGGAGAAATGTTGAAAGATTATGAAAGAATTGAGGTGTATGAGATCATTCAAAGCAGACCAATGTTCGTCGTCTGCGTGTGCAAGGCCGGGCGACTTGTGTTCAAAGGGTCTAGGGAAGGCCTTTTCCAGGGCATGCATGTTCCCTTCTTCGGTTTCGTTTTCCAGACGCTGTGTCTTCATTGCTGACGCCTATCGCCTGTCCATGCGATTGTTGATTATTGCAAACCTTTCAACCTTACACTAAACTTTTACCTTGTTGTTGCGATTACGTTACTTTTGTTGACAGCATGATGCTTGTGGCTGCAAGTTCTAGGTCGCACAAAGTCTTATGTATGTAGAGAAACCAAATTTGATTTGGCTGACTGCTGTGAGCGAATGCTGACGACCTACGATGCACGAGTCCGTTGTGAGCACAAGCTGAAGCAACAGCCATGCACGATCTTACATTGTGTTCCAGTATTTGCAGGCCGACCCTTTGTTTCTCTGCTGAGTTTTCAGGCAACACTTCTGCAGTGCACGGCCTCAACAGTCAATGCAGTGTGGCGGACAAGATTCGTCAACACATTGTGCCGTCCCTTTAAATGGCTGTACCTCAGGCACATCACTGATCCAACTCCCCATCGCCCCTGCATGGGTTTCAAAGCGCGGGGGATGTTTCGTAGAAGCCACCTCTCAAACTGATCTGCACTGCGTTGCCGTGCAAGGACGTGCTTGCAGCGCTAGCTGGGGCAATGCTATTAAACTCAGGGCGGGTGGATAAAGTTTTCCAACCCTGTTGCCTCATGCTCCTGGCAGAGACATTGGATTCAGTTTGCACCAAATTTGGTGTTCCAAGAAGGCAAAGCTTCTTCATGTCAAACGTGCCCATGAACTGTCTTAGCAATGCAACACCATGGTCTGCCTTACCACCCACTGGTGGCCAAGCGGTGGTTTGTGTCCGAATTGACAAAGGGGATGAACCCTGCCGTACAAGTGGTAGAAATTAGCAGGAAGGGGAGCCTGGGCTGCCCCGCCGCAAGTAGCGCGATAAAACGGTGCGGAGATTAAGTTTGCAAGTACCCGAAACACACTTGTGCATTCATCCGCAGCCTCCAGCTGACAATCGGTAGATCTGGATACAGTCAGTGACGGGTCCGGAACCTGTAGTTGGCCTAACGGCTCTTTTATGCGGCTTTTCCTGGTTGCCATGACCCTTGATTGCAGGTATGTGGAGAACACATGCCCTCTGCATATCACAGACTGCTTCAGCCGTCTTCATTGGCAGCAGAACTGAAGCAAGACCTGCTGCCCCTGCACTGATCTGTTACACAGCTCTCAGTAAAACAGTTGTGCATATATATATATATATACACACACACACGCACGTGCAGAATTGAATACATGCAAGACAGTGTCATCAGCTGAAAGGTCGACATGACTTTCAGGTCAGCAGCTTTGTCAGCAGCCGTCATTGCTGCTCATACAAACAACCCCAGCGTCATCATCGTCATGACCATCATCGCTGTCGTCAATCGCACAGTGGTCAGGATTGTCAACTTACCGCGCGAGTCTTCATCGCAAGTTCAACTTCCCACATGGGTTTTAACTGTCATAGCGACGCACCGGATCGAAAGAAGCGCACTTGAGCATAAGCAAAAACGTTCGTAATCGCAGCCGCGGGAATCATCTGTGCAAGTAAGCCAGCAGCGCAAAGGGGTGCCGTGTTGAAGTGGCTGCCAGGGCCCAGTGCGAGCTTCGCTGATGACTTTCCCGGCGATCTCTCAGCTGGTGCTGGCCACAACAGGGGCTTCGTAGCCAACTCAGACTCCATGGCCTGCATGTCCTCGTGAAAGCTTCAATAGTTCGTATGTGTCGGTGCTCTGTTGAAGAACGTCACGCCGTACTGCACGGCAGACACTGCACTGGCAAGGTTTGGCTTGCCCAAGTACCGTGACGGCCTCGGCCAGTCCATTTGCGTTGCGGCGGGCCGAAGGCTTCAGCTCAGAGACTTCGATGCTGCAGGTTTCATTCCCGTCCAGACGCAACAAAAACTGATCTGGAATTCAGGACATGACCTACATCCTATCACCCCGATTGCCCTTAAGAAGAGAATGATGGAGAAGGCCTGCCGACGAACGATTGTAACATTGGACGAACCAGCCGACGTCAGGCGGTTCGCCGTCTTCAACTAGTTGGTGATCCGATCGACGCAAACGAAGCGCAGAGGTGCGCAGCCGTCCTTTTGTACTCTTCCGCAACCCGAAACTGCTTGCTGACTCCAGCTTCTGCATCGTGCTTCTCTGCAAGGTTAGGTTTGGTGGACTTCATCGGTGATGAGGCTGCTCCATTGGCACTGGCATTGCTTCTTTCAATTTCTGAGCAGTGCAGGCCGAGGTGGAGAACGAGATATGCAGGTTAGTCTACAGAAACTGTTCGCCCTCGAGCCAGTATTTCATGCGCCTCGCCGCACTTCATTATCTTGATGTTTCAGAGAAGCTGAGGGTCAGAAAATGCTTGCCCGATGGTCTGAGTTCCTGAAGGTACAAGTCCGACCTTGTCAAGGCCATGAGAGCCAAAGAGGAAGCTTGAGCAGCGTCAGAAGTTTCACGCAGGGAATGAGGTTCGCTCTTGGACTCTTTGATCGCATCGGGACCAGTGGGGTGTAGGGAAGGTTTGGAAACGAGCTCCTGTCTGCATTAGCAGCATTAGCAGGCACGGAGCTGAGAGCAAGCTTGGGCTCTGCTCTTCCATCGGCACCCATTTGCGCACCTCATGTCTTTGCTCTTCCAGTTTCGGATCGCCGGGAGCATGCAAAAGACGGTGAGCTTCTTTGGCTGGCTCGCCTCGATTCCGACGGTGGCCGACCTTCAGATGCTTTGGCTTGGCTTGGCTGGGGTCGCGACTGACTTCTAACGCCCGTTGCTTGTGTGTCCGGTCTACATGGAGGCTAAAGAACCCGAGTGGAGTTACACTAAGATCTCGTGCGTCCAGCTGCGTGTTGTTTTGTTTGTGATCAGCCGAATTAGCCAGGCATAAAAGTGGGTCAGCCAGGTGCCCTATAAGTAGTTCCATGGCGTGGACCAGCTCCCAACTTTGAAGAACTTGCCCCTGTCTGCACGATACGCGCCTTAGCCCCTTTGTGGCTTGGCAGAACTTTCGAAGGGCAGTTCGCAACATCGGTTTGCTTCGACTTGATTGCAACTTACACATCACCACAGACAAGTAAGCCGACTCGAGTCATCTCCTGACTGCTTAGGTGACTATGGCATTCTCAGAACGCAGCAGCGGGCAGGAGAGCAAGAATGCCAGACAGATTGTAGAGATCCTAGCACGAGCATCAGCACCACCAAAGGCTCAAGTCATTCCAAGCCAATTCCTTGTAAGATGTCGCTTATTTGATCTGTCATTCGGCTGTAGGCAGGCAGGAGTTAAGATGGCTTGGATATCCAGCCATGGCTTTGTTTCCAGCAAGCCATGTCGTCGTGGTGGGCGGTGGACTGGCCGGAATGGTGGTTGCCAACCAGGTCGAACCCTCAATGGCCCAACGGTTCGAAAATCAGAGGGCAGGCGAATGACATTTTGTTTGCACCTGCTCGCTCTCTTGGGGCGCACATCGCGATTCAAGCACGCGCTTTCCGAGCGCATTCCAGATCCAAGCACTGGCGATTTAAGGTTGAAATTTAGGCATGCACTTTTCAAAGCCGCACGATTCAGGCCCGCCTCGCGACGAAGATGGCTTGTGGAGTTTAGGGCTTAGAGCTTATCTTATCTTCTTTCGGGCTAAGGCTAGGGTTGAGGGCGTGAGCTGCGAATCTTCTCCGGGGTGCCCGCGCGGGGAAGTACCCAAGTTGAACAGGAAGGGAACGGAAGCTCTCAGGCCAAGGCCCCCTCTAGGATCCTCCGGAAGCTCTTGGGCCCTCTTGGGCCCCTCTAGGATCCTCTAGGCCTCTCTTTTCACGCGAGTCCGCGAATCGCCGAAAAGCGCGTCCTGCGCATGGATTCGTCTGCGTACAAATCTCTGCTCTTCTTTTTGAGGTGTTGGAGCGCGGAGGTCGAGTCTTGGTGGGTGCCTTAGCAGTGACCGCTGCAGACTCGAGGCGGCTCTGGAATACCATGGAGTACCTCGCAAAATCTTGCTAAGATTCAAGTCACGCCACAGGCACAATAACGAGAGAAGCGCTCTCCACCAGTACCCGGCGGCGAACCTTGTTCTCAAGCCAGTTGTATTTAAGACGTTGGACGGTAAACGGTAAAGAAACTGTCAAACTGAAACAGCCTCCGCGGCCTGAGTTAAATCGAAGCCTTGCGTGAACAAATGGCCCGTTGCATGGTAAGAGTCAGTCACGCGCGATGCTGCGCATCGCCCTGCACGACTCCGCTTTGCTGCTCGAGTGAGGTTCTCGACAAGGAGCGCCTGATGCCGCCGGCTGCGTCTCGGTCTCGGATGCTCCGGCTGAGTACCTTGTCCGCAGGCTCCCTTTTGCGGTGGCAACTCTGCCAAAGCCACTGCCGGCATCAGTTTTCCAGCATCTCAGGATTGTTGCCGGCTTGTTTCAGTTCTATACATGTACAAGCAGTGGGTTTTTGGAAGCATGGGAGGAGGATGCTATGTGTACTTTCCAGAATGACATCAGAGTTGCTGGCCGGAGTGAGACACCCTTGGCCGAAACCTTGGGCAGCTGGACCTGCAAGTTTGTGTGCTTCTTGACGAGATCTTCTTGCGAAGCAAGACTGTCACCAAAAGGCGTGACAATGACACAATCAGGTCGAAATGGCTTGGCCGACAAGAGTTGGCTGGTTGACAAGTTCGACTTAAATTTGGCAGTGATCGCGAAACATGCAGGGCATTCCCATCCACGGACCCTCAGGAGCATCGTCAAGTCTTGCAGTCTGTTCTTGCGTGTCTGCAGCTCCCACTGAGACCTTCAACTGCAGACAGGACTGGGGATGGTATGCCGGGTATGACGATCACCTATGCCCTGATCCAGCGTGTCGAGAAGGTTGCTGAGGCTCACGAGTATGTATTATCCGATGCCCTGCCAAAGAGTTTGCATGGAGGTGTCTGATAGAGCTCGAATCATCACCAAAGCTGAAGTCTCCAGACTCCTCAGTCGGGCAGGAAGCGTAGTCGGACGGAGCCTTAGGGTTTCTGATTGAGACGCTGGGTGTCCCAACTCACCGGTGTCCCAGGCTGCGAGTACCAGAAATTTGGGAGAAGCAGCAAGGAGTACGGTCCCGTCATCCTGTGCACTGGCCTCCCAGCTGCAAGGCAGATGAAAATCGGGTTCCAAACCTCCCAATTCTCAAGTGTCGGACAGGTGGCTTTGCAGCAGGTGTTGGACCTGGATCTGTGCTGGCAAAGTACCGGCCCGACTTGGTGAACCTGCCAACGGCCAGTGCGGAGCATTGCACAGGAGACGGGCTGAAGCTTGGTCCCTCAGCCGAATGCAGGGTTCTGCTTGCGAGGGTGCGCTTCGAGATGCGAGAGCACTGAGGGACGCGTTAGGTGAAGATGTCGGTGCCAAGACTCTCGACCTGGAGTGGGTGCAACTCCATCCGACAGGGCCGGGTCCGCAGCCCACGTTTATCACGGAGCCATCAAAGGCTGCGCGCAGAGTCTGCTAGAGTCTGCTAGGTTGATACACTTGGACGAGCCGGAGGCCCCGCGCAAGGCTGGGAACCTCGTGTCCGGGCCCCTTCGGCCCCTTCGGCCAAAACAACGCGCATGGAAGGCGATTGCTGGAGAGATGTTCCGTGCGGCGGGTGCGCTGCTGCTCGATGCGTGTGGGGAGCGCTTCTGCAACGAGCTTGGGCCGGCAGCCCCTGAGCTGATCTGTGGTGCAAGAGCGATCACCCGATCACCCGATCACTGCATATATCCGAGGACCACATTCTAGAAGAGATGTCAAAGAGACCAGGCCGAGCCCCATTTTGGCTATGCCTGAACACGGCTGCATCCCGAGAGCTGCAACGTCAATGCCGTGCATTCACTCGGCGGCGGCTCATGAAGTGCTACGCCTCTGGGAAAGAGCTCGCACAGGAGATGAGGACAGGCTCTCCAGAAAATGTTGCCACTATAGAACAAACACAGAAAATGGTGCATGTTTCGAAATTCTCCCTCCTGTTGGGGTTAAGGCCTCAGGGTTAATTTACCTCACGACAAGTTGAAGACAGCCTATTCACAGTTCTTTCATCTTTGGTGTTTAGCCACCATCACGCTGGTAGAGTTTTAAATCTACTCCCCAGCAAGTCCTCTCGATATTCGGGTTGGCCGGCCTTCTGCGCTGCAGATTCTCGAGACTACGGGCAAACAGTTCTTTGGAGATTTAGGTCGTCTGGCCTGCAACATTCATTTACGGGCTTCGGCCTTTACATCATTTTTTTCGGCTGAGGTTTCGCCCTCCATCTCTCGTTTGAGGTTTCGGGTTGAGTATAGTGTTTTCAGAGAATAGATGGAGTTCTCAAGTTGAAACTTGAGGTATGTTGGTGGTTTTAGGAGAAAACGAGATGTCCGTTATATGTTATAAGACCAGCAGCTTTCAACTTCACAACCTGGCGCACATGCGGCGGGGGGCGGGGGGGGGAAGGGGGTTGCTCGAGAGTTTCACATCGAGCAGTTCACTCCTGCATGGCGGGAACGAAAGCACCATGGGTCCTGGTGTGTTTTGCATACTCTCTTGGTCCATAACATGAAGGCTGCTAACTAGCACAAAAAATGTTGCCAAAAAGCATTAGAACTTGCAGTGGGACTATCGTTGAACACCAGACCCAGAAGGGCATAATTGCTAGGACGGAGATGACTCCGAGGCTCTGAAACGCAACAGCGCAACACACCCCACATCCACGAGATCTTGCAGTTGTGAGAGGAGAGCGCGCACTCACACGGTCCCAAACAGTCTGAGCAACAGCCTCCCTCTGAGCTCAAGATCATGAAGAGGTGGAGTCATCAAGCACACGGGTGCGAGTTGAGCTGTCAAGTCGTCTCTGCCTGGCTCTTGAACAGAATGGTGGTCAAAAATGTATCGAATGGTTTCAATTCCATTACATCCCTCGCACGTCGCTCTACACCTGCTGCTGCCCACACCATACTCTTGAAGCTGCCATTAACCTCCTCCAAGACGATGCCGAACGCACCTCCGTTGAATCAGAGGAACCTACCGATATTCTGATGGACTTCTCGATCGTTGTCTGCAGTCACCTAGCAATACATCCGCTGTTCCATAGTTTGCATGGCCGGGGAGTGCAGCTCGCACAGGCGTTACACCAAGCATGATTTCCTTGGGCTGTAGCCAGGATACCTCTGCAAAAGCTCGTGGAGGTGCACGATGCCCATGCCGAAGCATTCCGCCGCACACTGAGGGATGCCGGGGAGGGGACCCCGGGCCCGGGTCCCTTTCAAGGGCCTTGGAGGAGTTTCGACGGGCGCCGCTCCTACGACGAGGTTTCTGGGAAGCTGGGATTTGGTAAGTGTGACTTTCGGAATGTTTTGGTCGGTTCCAGAGTGCCAGATGAGACCTTCCACGCCGCGCAAGTCACGCCGGTGGTCTTGTACTGTGCTGGGGGGCTTGGAATCTCTGCCCAGGGAGAGGTGCTGAAACAAGATGGGTCAGCAATCCCCGGTCTCTTTGCTGCTGGGGAATGTACAGGTGGTGTCCACGGAAGGCTGGCACTTCCAGGTAATTCCTTGCTGGATTGCCTTGTGTTTGGAAGGGTGGCTGCGAAGTCGGCTTGCAAATACATATTCGGCGAGGATGATGAGTTTCGTCCGTGTCCACTCCCGTCCCAAGAAGGTCAAGTTGAAACGTTCGAACATGCAAGGCTTGAGTTTCACAGTGGAGTGGTTGAGTGCTCTGATACAACGAGGTATGCGCCTCAAATGATCTGTTTAGTCTCCGCATGTATCGGCTTCAGCGGGAAGGGAGGGGCCCTGGCACCAGCCATGAGGCCATCTCTGGCTTAGGAGATCCTTGGAGTGCAAGTGGCACTGTTTCAGGCAGCGGAGCACCGGAAGCCGGCGCTGGCTTCACTTGACCAGCCGGGGCCTCAGCCGAAGCTGAAGAGCGGCTTGAGGAGTTGCAGTGAGATGTGCTCTCCGTCACCCTCGCCTGCAGGTTCAGCTCTGCTTAGTACTAGCCTGGCATTGTGGGCCCTGGTCTCTGAGAGCAGATCTGCAGTCGCTAGTCGCTGCGAGATGACGGGTTTGGGTTCATGTGCTGGAGCCACTGAGGTTTTGGATGACGCCGTGCCGCGGCAGGACCTTCTGCAGTCTCCTTGAAACCCGCAAGAGATGTGACGTCGGCCGGTCGCATGTTCGCTATCTTGCGCAGTCGTTGGCCTTCCTCCTGGGGAGGGGAGCAGGCACATCAGCAGGGCCCAGGCAGGAGAATCAACAGTTCTGAACCGTCCTTTCTCGAGATGCTTGTGCCTTCGAAGGCTGGCTGGCTGCGTGAGCCTGCAGGCCGAAACCGAGCAATCCCATGCAGGATGAGGATGAGTAGTAGTAGCAGTAGTAGTAGTGGTAGTAGTAGTAGTCGTAGTCGTAGTCGTAGTCGTAGTCGTAGTCGTAGTCGTAGTAGTAGTAGTCGTAGTGGTAGTAGTCGTAGTAGTAGTAGTAGTCGTAGTGGTTGCGGTAGTGGTAGTGGTAGTGGTTGCAGTGGTCCTGGTGTTGGCGACGATAGCGGTAGTCGTTGTGGCTGCGGACCGATCTCGAAGGGCCTCTTCCTCAAGTGCCCTCGAACCCAAACTCGACGAAGTCGAAATCCGACGACCCCGGCCCCCTCGGCTCCCTTCAGAGAGCCCCGCCTTGCTGCCACACAGGGCGTCCAAAGACACCATTTTGCACTCGTGAGATCCGCTGCTGACAGGCCTGGAATGACGATTCACCGCCTCCTCCGCCCCCCCGACCGCCGCGTCCGAGCCTCCCACACCGGCAACGCGTCCTTGGTTTTGGACATGGTGCTGAATCACGTGTTCAGCATCCACCTCAGGGGCCTTTCGGCTCAAGTTTCCGGCAGCGCCATTTCAGTTTCATGCTGCCATGTTCTTGAGTTGTCCCTGCACTTTGCTGCTGGAAGCCCCCCGGCTGCATCACAATATCACTCACAGCATATCCCACAGCATCTCACAGCATAGACGCCCACAACTTTTGCCTTAACGATCAGTCGATCGCTAGGATGACCTCCGTGACGACAGCTTTTCCAAGACCGACCCGACTGAAGAGATTCTTGACAATACTGCCACGAACAAACTGCAGCATGTGTCCTTCAAGGCCAACGGGGGTTGCGGGAACCTGGAGCTGTTTCCGTTCGCTTTCGTTGTTGTCGACGGCACGCTGCGAATACATAGTTCAACGCAACAGGTCGGAGTATGATGGCACCTACAGGATAGAAGACAAAGTCAGGAGACCAATGTGCAAGGTGTGAGCTAGATAAAAGCAGTGTTCAGCAGTGGTCGATGTTGCTACAATAGTTGAGTAGTACATTACCATCTACATGACTTCTTGTGGACACGCCATCATGTTTATGTTTCTACATACATGCATATGTACATAAGTATGTATATATATATATATATATATAATATATATACACATACAGAGACGAAATCAATAAAACAGCTGCGTGAGTTGCCATGCTATGACTCCGGTGGCTATCCATAGTAAGTAGAGTCATAGCATGGCAACTCACGCAGCTGTTTTATTGATTTCGTCTGTTTTTCAGTTGTCGGAAACGACCCATTTCCAAGTGTGGAGCTGTGACATACAATCCTCTTCAGCAAAATGCAGCTGGTACAACAGCGGGCAAACATTCTTACACTGGGGCGCACGTGTGGACTATCTTGGACTGAACGTGCTTCAAGGGGCCTTGGGCAACACAACGTTATGAAATCATGTGCTTGCTGTTAAACAGATCGGCATTGGCACACTTACACTACACGGGCTTGGGCGCTAGTCGGTTGCCGTTTAGCAGGTCCAATTCGTCAAGTTTGGCAGCTCACGAGTGGCGTACTTTCGCACGCTCTCTTTTGTGCCAGGACGACAGTAGTCGACCCACATCGTGCACGAGAACTCCACCATCCGACGTGGGTACTTCCTTGAGCGGCAGCAACTCGAAGAAGGGCGTCCCGCTGACGACTTTTGTTCTAGAAGCGACGCTCGGACCAAGTGTGATAACAAACTTCAGGATTTGATGGAGCTTTTCTTGTCGGCATTAGCCAGCAGACACTAGAGATCCAGTCTGTCTTTTTGCAGAGCAATTCTTCAGTTTAACGCTATAGGGATAGTGGGAATCTCACGGTCAGTCATGTCACCGCTGCACATGTGACGTCAAGTTGTGACTATAGTATACGGTGAGAGACTGTCACTTTTTAGACCGTCCTTTCTCCAGTAGCTGCTGCTTCACTCGATTGATCTTTCTGCTACTTGAACGTGGTAAGGCGCAAGAGGAAGATGCTGCAAGGAAGGCTTGGCGCGCGGGCTTTATGATGCACTAGACTCTAGACAGCTGCCATTAATCCATTTTCGGCCGAAAGTCATGGCAGATTCACTGATTTAGTTGCACAGTCCCTTCCGGGCCAGCATCCTATCAAATCTGCGATGGCATGAGACATGACTGTGCAGGATCAAGTTGCTGTCCTTCCTTGGCAAAAATGGCTTTAAGACCCACGATGTGAATGCAAAGAAAAGTGGAGTCTTCGGCTTTTCCCGTGCCCCTTCTGGGCCTACTGGGCCTCAGCTCGGCACAGTCACTTCCAGCCTGTGCAATACAGTGGACATGTGAGGGTGGCAGCAAATCTGATCATGGTAGAAGGAGGCGTAGCTGTGGTTTTCCTGGTCAGTTTGATTATGACTGGGAGCTACTTTGTGAGCTGCTCCAGGTACTTATCCGTTGCACGAGGCTGCAAAGCAGGATCATGCTTCGATGGTGCGTTGGCTGTTGCATTTTGGAGCTGATTCAGCTAAGAAGGACAGCTCAGGCCGGGACTGGGGCTCCAGCGAACAAGGGAAAGCAAGGAAAAAGGCAAAGCTACCCCGCTCCAGGCCGTACAGCCTACGACTACGTCAAGACCAAGCCTCCGACCGATGAGGCATGTCGAGAGCGTATCACTTTCACAGCGGCTCCAGTGCTATAGAGGAAGGCTGTTGGATTATCTTCAAGTATTTGGGGCTTCATTTCTCGCCGGCAAATACCAGGATATGTCGGGAGATGAGCTTTGTGAGCAAACTGTGTCTGCAAGTCGATGCCCGAAAGTTGGTTCCCGGCATTGAAGTGGCATGTGAAGCAGATAGGTGCGCCGGGTGCTGGAGAAGCACACCATGTCGCAGAAGCAGTCTGCCTGGCACAGGACCTTGTTGGCCCGTCCAGATGCAGTGCATGTAGTGTGTGCTTTTCTCATATCCAGAGCTCTCGGGGCATGTGTCCTCATCACCACGACGTGGCAGAAGTAGTGAGCAGCGGGCGGCGGCTGGCCATCTGCAGTCCAGGCGTGTAAAACAGTAGACAACATAGCGGATTCTCTGCTGGGGTATGCCAGCTATTACTTGTTTATGTTGGCATGCTGTCACCGTGCGTAGTTTTACTTTCGTAGGCACCCGGAGAGGAAGGCCATGGATTGCCATCTGCCAGCAGCAGGGTAAGACATTTCATGAAATCACAATCTAGATCTACCAGCTGGCTCTTGCATTTCATGGGGCTTAAAGGCCTTTCTGTCGCATCAAAAGTTTTTCGAGTCTGTAGATTTCTTCAAACTAGGGCTTCTTGTAGCACAGGGTTGTAAGGATCATTCAGGATCCTACTATGTTACTATGTTGTCTCAGCAAGAGCTGTGCTCTTGTCAGCACTATCCCTTGCAGGATCTGGCCACCTCAGGGATTCGATGAGTTCCTGGAGGAGGTTAGGAGGCAAAAGGAAGTTCAGGTCTCAGATGGTTCGCAACAGCGCATTCTGGGAACATCATGGGTGCGGCTGCGTGCGCAACAGCTAAGGAGATTTTACCAAGTTCGCCGGTGACCCTGCGCCTCCTCTTAATTCAGGCTGCTTCTTGAGGCGATCGTTTTGTCGACCTGCATCCAAGGAGCCTCTCCGGAGGCAGCGAGAGTTGCAAGTGTCTTTCCCGTCTCGGCGACCCCTAGAAACCTCAGAAGCCTCTTAACTTCTGCAAGCCATTCTGAGCTTATGCAAATTCAGCATTGCCGTCTCGTGGAGCTGGCAGAGCCTGGCAAAGCGAGACGGCAGCAGAGACGGTGAGGCCGTGAATGCCAGGATGGCACATGGGAAAAACCATCGAGTTTGTGCCGGCATTGGTCTGTTGGTAAAGATTTGGAGAAGGGGCCTCAGGGAGCAGCAAATGGATCCCTACACGACCAATGCCCTGCCTGCACACCCCCTGCGTCGCTTGACTTTTTATTTGCGACTGGTTTCATTCATAAAGGCTTTGCACAGAAATTCAGTTGCTCGGAGAACTCCGAGCCCTTGCACGACATGCCTGATCTCGCCAATGTTTCGTTAGATCAGAATGTGCTACGTGTCATCTGTTGCGTGCGTGTGCGTGCGTCTATTGTCTGTAGCTTCCACTGATCCGACATCGCCATAAAAATGGCAGGCAGCCGCCTTGTGCTGCTTTCGCGTATCTTTCGTTCCTTGAGACCGTCTACGAGACGAGCGCCTCGCAAACGCGTCCAAGATGTGGACTTGTGTCGCAGGCGTTCAAAGCAGAAACACCTGCTAACCGCTGCCCGTTCCGGGGCGTGCTCACTGCAAGCGGTGCAGACAAATCGTCTGGCTGTTCACCTCACAATGCCAGTCTTACGAGCATATGCTCCAACTGGACTTTGGACGTAGTGTTATTGGTTTCCTGTCACAAGGCATTGAGAGAAATGCGTTTTCTTCGATCGCTGGCGACTGTGGAAGGCTCATGTGTCATACTGTCGACTACAGTCTGGCAGCTGCGCCCCGTTTAAGTTCCAAAGCAAACCTGGTGATCAGATATTGCTTTCTCTGATAGTAGAAGGATTCAAGCCGCGCCGCTTTCGCTGCCCTGATGTCTTGTTGGTGACGGGCGGTGGAGTGGAGTGACTCTTAAATTTTTCTGCTGTCGGCACTTCTTCTTGGCTTCATTTGGCTTCTGGCCATGTATGCAGCAACTCCAGCACTGCCAAAAGACAGAGGAGGTTGTGCGTGCATGTGTGAGACATACTCCTCATAACGCATGTAGGCATTGAGAGAAGCGGCCCTTTGTAGTCGCAGGATGTCACAGGCACAGCAAAGAAAGCTCCTTGTCCTTGTTCTCTTTACGTGCTGGAACAGTTCCGGCGGGTCCTGCACGAGGCAGGCCACTCGCCCCTGCGCATACTGAGAGCCGTTCCATTTCTGGAGACAAAAGGTTCGAATTTTTGCTGGCCCAACTGCTCAGAGCCATGTGTCGTACAGATCGCACCCTGTTTCGGCTCTGAGGTGAACGAAAGATGACAGACGTGGAGAAGCAAGCTGATGCAATCGTCCATGCGGTCCGCGTCCAGAACTTTCTTTTGAAGTGAGGGGAGGTGGATCTTGATTTCAAAAAAATTGGAGAGATAGAACTTCCGTAGCAGATGACAGGAACGAATACAAGGGGTCCCCCCCGCAAGAGTGAACTGGAACTGATGGTGTGGCTTGCTAGACAGTGACTGTCGAGTATTTGCTGTATGTCCGTTCCCGTATTCCCGTATTCACATGTGTCGAATGGCAAAGAGCGACCGACGAGCCCTCAGGCATCAAGTCTCCGTGTAGTTTGTGTCAGGTCGTTGCAGTTGAGCTGCTTCATTGGCATGGGAAGCTGGGTGGGACCCTGGAGCCCTTCGGCATCTTTCAGTGACCGCGTGGCGAAAGCAGTATAGGCAGTAGCTTGTGTCGACGCACCATGCCGCCAAGGAATGCATTTCGAAAGCATCGGCCTCACTGTTTTCTTGTCTGTGTCCTCCAGCCCGCACAGATTCAGATGGTCGGATAGACTTGTAGAGAGGTGCGTCTACGTTCCCGTGCTTCCCAGGCTGGTTGTTGGTCAACCTCACAACACTAGCAGGGAAGACTGCTCAAGCAAGAGTCTGTCTAAGCCCAGTGCAGGCTGAAGCGGTTGACGAATCGCAAAGATAGCGCAGATGCGAGCCTTGCAGGTTTTGATTTTGATGTATTTCCCGGATTCACACTCTCTTGAACGAGCTGCCAGGATTTCAAAATAGACATGAAGACGGGCCGTAAGCTGTCGCGCCCGAGTAGAGTTCACGATGCAGCCCGGAGCTCGGAGCTTTACCGCAGCCAATCGCAGGGCTTCGGGATGCTTCAGTGTCAGGCCCTTGAGAAGCAGTTCACCTTGGGTTTCGTCGAGCCGGCAAGTTGCTCCGCCAGAACCCCCCCACTGCCCAGATTACCTTGTGCGCTACTGCTTATTGCAGGCTTTCACCGGTGTGGCCTTGGATTCTTTGAGTCGAGGCTGGCCCAGCGAAGAACGAGGCACACACTTTGCAGCGTGCACCTGCAGCCGGAAGGCGACAATGGAGTTTGGCTTCCTCTTGCCCGATACCAGGTGGACAATAAACGACCTAAACCCAGCCTTCCTGAACTTTCACCGATGGAGATTTGATGAGCTGGCTTGACTGTCACAAGATCGGATCGGCAAAGTTGGAAGGCTCGCAGGGAGCTCAACCTTGCGGATGTAGAGCCGGGTGAGGATCCACAAGCCAAGGACGCGTGGACAGGGGTCATTGGCCTGTGGCATGTGGATCACATGCAGCGCTGTCTTTCGTCTCTGGCAGGATCTTGTCGCCTTCAGCCAGGGTTTCGTGAAGTCTGATGCTGGCCAGGAGCGAAAGCAGGGGATGAGGTGTTTGCATCAGCAGTGATGCGCAGTGTTTCACTTGTCCACGTGATCAGCCAATGCTAATAGCATCCTGGACCTGGACAAAACTGTGTGTGTTATCTTTTTGGCGCTGGTTCCACCTTCTGCGTGCCGTGAGCGCTTTCCATACCTGACCGAGTTATGTTATGTAGTCTGCTTTGAGGAGATGGTTCAGGTTACATCTCGAGCCGCCGCACAGCTGCAAGAACACCTTCAGCGGCTCTTGCGACAGCTCTTCACCACAAGTGTCAGTATCTGGTGCTCAGATGTTGCAGGGCAGGTAGCACTACAGGGCGTTCCATGCTAAGGTGGGACATGGCGATGCCAGACAAAACATCTGGATTCTTCCTGCTTCGCTGCCTTGCTTGTTCTTGACGGCTGCCCTGTGTGACAGACTCTCTGGCTGTGTCAGCACAACCACCCAACTGCGGCCTGCAGCCATGTTTTGGGCCGGCCCTTTTCGGGTTGAGTCCAGGGTGCTGTGGCCCAGCAATCTGCTTTGGGCTCGGGTCCGGGGGTTTTCAACCCTTGCCAGGTATTCGTGGATCACGATCGCTCTTCGCACGCCGAGCGGCAGGCAAGGATGGAACGGTGCCAGTCATGATCCTTTTTATGGTTCCATGTCTATTAAGCATCGAGCCCGAATCACGTTTGTCCTTCCTGCTCAAGCTGTAGATGGATGTTTTGAGGGTTGTCGGGTTGTTGAAGGAAGGGCTTTCCTCGAACCTTTGGGGTCTCGGTTGCCCAATCCACTGCCACCCTTCTTCCCTCACCGGCCTGGGTTTGGCCTTCGTTCTGGGGTGGATCATCGGGGTCGCCTCCTGTGGCTTCCTGGCCTTCCGCCTTGGACTTCTCAGTGTTGCCTCTCCGGTGATCAGGTCCGACCCTCCTGCTCCTACCTCATTGCCACCTGCTGCTCTCCGTCTCCGCGCGTATTTGCATGCATCAGACCCCACCACGGAGCGGGGATATTAACCTAGTGGTTGCGGTTGGTGAGCTTCAGGTTACGGTCTCTGGACCGGTGGCTGAGGCTACTGCCTTGCTAAACCACTTGCAGGCCTTCCGGCCACGCTCTGGGGTTGAGTCCGAGACTCCTCCCAGGTTTCCTTCCTTGCATCAGGTTCCCACGCACAGGCTTCCAGGTTCAACCCCTTGCAGGCCTCGGGCCCAGTGCAGGAGTCGAGCTTGAGTCTCCTCCGGTCGGCATTGCCTCAGGTTCCCAGGCACAGGCTTCCAGGTCCGCCCCCTTGCTGGCCCCCGGGCCCCGACCTAGGTCGGCCTACTTATCCTCAGGTCGTCAGTCTTCTCCTTCTTCCTCTGCCAGGGTCGAGCCCGAGACTCCCCGCTCAGGCCTTCCTCTTGATAGCCCCGTCCCTGCGGTTCAGGTTCCCTTGCAGGCTTCGGCCACTGCTTCGCCTCTCCGTTCAGAGGTTGAGGCTTCTTTTCCGGACTGCCCATCGATTGTTCTGAGCAGGGCCCGGTATCTTACCAGCCACGGAAATCTCTCTGCAGAGGACCGGGTTCGTAGGGCGTGGAGGGCTGGACTTTGGGCAGTGAGGTCCTCTCAGGTTCCTTTGCCACGCCCTCGGCGGCGCAGAGGTTGTCTCTGCCTTCTAGGGTCTATCCTGTGCTTGGTGGCCCTGGTGTGCGGCCGGCCCTTTTTACCATACTTACCGAGAGGTTGCACACGTCCTGGGGCCCCTATCTTCGAGCCGGGCCGTCTTCCACGGCTTTCCCTCTGAGACAGAGGCCGAGATTTACGCTGAAGCTGCCGGGGTGCGTTGGCCCTTGGGTGCCTAAGGATGGATCACATTGTGCCTTTTGCAGAAGGCGGCGGAACTTTCGTGTACGAGCACCCTACGGGGGAGGAGGACGGAGTGATAGAGGCCCACGCCATAATCATTCTGAAACGGGCCCATGGCTTCATGGCAGCTGTGCCCGAGGGAGTGGTTCCTCTCGAGGAGCTCACGGCTGGAAGAGCGGCCTCCATGGAGGCCCCCCTGACCCCTTGCATCGGGTCACTGTTGCGGCCGGGCTACTGGAGAACGAGGTGATCGTGCCTCAACCGGGCGTGGTTGTGCAGTGCGTCATCGCCGACTTTGCCGCCACGGCTGCGTCCCGCTTTGTGCTTATGATGGGGGGCCTAGAGCCAGAGACCTTCCACACTTTCGACCAGGCCTCACCAGATCTCGTGCCCGAGCCATCGGCCCTTTTGCAGCAAGCTCTTGTTTGGGCCCAGCACCCCGAGACCCCTCAGGAAAGGGTTGCCTTACTCCGCCGAAGAAGGGGCTCCCCTAAAGCCGGCCCGCCAAAGGATCAGACTGTCGAAAGAGATCCGCCAAGGGGAGCCGCTGGGGCTACAGGTTCCGCAGATCCTTCTGCTGCAAAGCCCAAGCGCGTGACCACGTCAGCTCTGGCTTCTCAGCTGGAGGCACTCACTTCCTCCCTCCCTTCGATTGCAGCTCAGTTGGAAGATGTGGTTTCGAGGCAGAGTGCAATGGAGGCAAAGCTGGCTGCGGGTCCCACGGCCCCTCTTGCAGAGCCTTTGGGTTTAGGTGCGAAGCCAAAGACCCCTCCTCCCTTCGGTTTAGTGGGCCCCCCGCCTCAGCAGTCCAGGCAGCTGGTTCCTCCTCAGGCCACCCTTTCGGCGGCTGCGGCCGAGGTGGAGGAACTCGAGCAAGAGACGGAGGGAAGCTCCTCGACCTTAGCCAGGGCGGTTCTTGCGCAAAGCCAGGCCCTCGCTGCACTGGTAAGCCAGCTCTCTGCCAACAACGCAGATCCTCTATTGGACGGGCAGCAGGGGACTTCCTCCTTCCGCGACGTTCCCGCTGCCGCTGCCCTTCTTGGGCATCTTCCGGAGCAGCGGCCCACGGCTGTCTCGAAAACTTTGGCACCGGCTTTCGCAACGGCGTTTGCTCTGTGTCGCTGTGCTTGCGTTGAACTACATCCACGATGGGTACCGCAGGCATCCCCTCGAGCTGCTGTGGAGGCTTCCAAATGCCCACCAGAGGCAGGTCTACAATAGGCTGTCGAGGCTGCTACGCGCGTGTGACAGGCCGGGGGAGGAATATCCTTTGCCTCCTGGCAGGTCCGGTTTCGAATTTGTTGCTCGCCTTTTGGAGCTTGAGAGCTTCTCTGTTGCTGCAGGTTTGGGTGAGTCATCAGGGTATAATGCCAGTGGTCCTCCCTCGACACCGGTGCCCTTGATTGCTTCTTCGCCTGAGCTCCCTCAGCTGCATCCTTATAGATCTCTCGACGCTTCCCGTCTGAAGTTGCATGGAAGAGGCCAGTGGAATATGGCAAAGTGGCTCGAAGGCCCTCTGTGGCTTCCTTTTCAGGAGCCCGCCATTTTGCGTCACAGCTTTGGCTACGACCCCTCTGCTGTTCCTTCCTTTGCCGCTGAAGACAGAGATGAAAACCTGAAGCTCGCTGTTTTGTGGAGCCACAACAACCTTTTGGAGCTTAAGCCGGGTGTCCCTCCGCCACTTGCGCAGTGCCGAGTGTTTGGGGCTTTCAAATCCCTTGACCGAGATCGCCAAATAGGCGATCGGCGTTTGCCTAACGCCCTTGAGATGCACCCCCGAGGCCCCAGTATGCACCTCCCTGCTGGGACGGCTCTCCTCGGACTTGAGCTCCCGAAGCACACTCACAAAGTGATTGCTTTCATTTCGGATCGGAAGGACTATTACCACCAGGCTTCAGTCACCCGGGCTCGGGCCTTTACAAATTGCCTTCCTTTCTCCTACAGCGCCAGCGAGTTGCTCACCGCGGGTGTACCGGTCTTGTCTGAGTACAGCCCTCGCTCTGTGCTTGCCGGCGTCGGGGTTTTCACTCCTTGTTTCAGAAGCCTCTTCCAAGGCGACCATTTGGGAGTTGAGTATGCCTTGGAGTCTCACTCCCAGCTCCTCTCTACGTTTGGGGCTTTGCGGCCAGAGCTTTCTCTCATGAACAAGGAGCCCCCCCCGCTCGGCTGTGATGCTCAGGCACTCGTCATTGATGATTTTGTCTGTACAAGCATTATTCCCCGGGCCTCCGATCCGAGCATCAGCCCTGCCGCTGTTTTGCACCGGAGAGCACAGCTTGCTTATAGCTCTGAGAGTCTCGAGGGCAGCCCCGACAAGGATGTTCTTGGAGCCGACATCTTTCAGGCCATTGGGGCTTGGGGCTGAGGTCAACTCTGGGCCGCGATGCCTCTCCGAAGGGATTGTCCCTTGCGGGGCCCCTCTTGGGCGCAGGCTTCCTCTGGCTTCTCTTAGCCTTCGTGCCGCTGTTCTGCCTGTGACCTCTTCGAAGCTTTCCGCCCGAATTGCTGGGGCTTGGGTCTCGGCCTTGCTTTTCCGTCGGAGCATGATGGTGATTTTCTCTGAGATTTTTCGGAAAGCGCAGGGCGAGGACCGTGGAATACCAGAGCAGCGCGCCATAGCTCAGAGTCGCCGTATGGCCCAGGAGCTTGTGCTTGCTAGCATCCTGGCTCCTTTTGCCACTTCTGACCTTGCTGCGGGGACTCTGCCTGTCGTCTTTGCAACTGATGCTTCTCTTGGCCGTGGCGCCACCTGCTCTGCGCCCATACCCAAGGAGGTTGCTCGGACTCTTTGGCTGAATGCCGACCGCAGGGGAGCCTACTCAAAGCTTGACGTCGGAGCCACGAGCCACGGAGCTTTTGCGTGTTGCTGGGCGCCCCTCCTCCGAGGAGGACCTTAATTGAGGAACCTGTCGTTCCCCCGGCTCGGCAGATCCCATTCACCATTGACCTCCTTGTCATTGGCAGGCACTCTGCCTCTCTTGAGTCACGGGCTCGCTTTTTCGGGATAAGCTTAGGACCCACCATTAACCTTGATAGCTCAGAGCACTACAACGTCTCCTCTCCTGAGTTTTTGGTGTGGCTCCACTCAGCCATCAAAGCTGGTCACGTTCGGAGCCTCCTGGTGCTCCCCTTCGCATCCTGGCAAGGCTTTTCAGGAAGAGCCCCTGGCAGCCATGACACTGATTTGCCTGGAGGTGGCTTTCGTGCAAAAGGTGCTGCCAAGGCCTCTAGTGGTGCGTTGGTGTGTTTTCGCTTTGCGCTGCAGCTTGGTACGCCATGCGTGTTGCTCGCTGCAAAGGGCGCCCCTCTGGCTCGGTCTCAAAACTGGAAGTCCTTGGTTGCGCTCGGAGCCATCCCTTTTGAGCCCGCTTTGTGCCAGTACGGACGGTTTCCCTGCCAGCATCTTGCCGGGCTCGGTGGCCACCTTTCCATCAAAGGCCTCTCCCGATGCTGCCGCGGGTGCGCAAGAGCCCCTCGTGCTGAGACCACTGGGGACCCTCTTCCTTTAGGTCTTTCTGATGAGGTTCTGCGTGCTATCGGGGAACGACTTGCTGCTCTCAGGCAGGATGCGGAAAAGCCAGGCATTGAAAGTGTTGTTGTCAACGACGTGCTGATGTCAGCTGCTTGGAAGGTTGACCGGGTTGTACCTTGGAGAGGCAGTTCTCACATCAACACCCTCGAGCTTGGGACGATTGGTATCTTAGGGCGGGACCTCTCGATTGAAGCTCGTGACTCCCGCTTCACTGTCCTTGTCGACAGCACTGTGGCGAAGGCCTCCTCTGCTAAGGGAAGGTCAACGTCTCTTGCTTTGCAGCCTGGTCTCCGGCGATCCATGGCTCATCAGGTGGCCTTTGGTCTGTATCCAGCCTACGGCTTTGCTCCAACTCGTTTGAACATAGCCGACGATCCCACGCGGCTCGTTGCTTTACGTGGGCCCAGCAGCATCGCCTTGCATCGAGTACTTCCTCTCGCTGCTCTCCACAACCTTGGAAGGCTGAGGCTTCGTCGCCCTGTTGCCTCTTGGGCCCGCCTCTTTCTCGCTGCTCTGCATTTCTCCGGCAGCCTTTCAGAAGCCTTCCTCCGCTCTTTAGCGGGGCGCTTTGCTGTTGATAGTGGCGGCTTCGTGCCTCCCTGCAGCATCGACTTTGACTGCACCCTTGGATTTCCCGGTGAAGGTCCTGCTCCCCTCGCTTGGTTCCTCGCCCTCGGGGCCTCTTCTGGATTTCCTGCTCCTTGGCTTTCTGGGTCGCAACTTGGCTTCTGCTACCAGCTTCTTGTTTTCCATTGGCCCTTCTTTGGCCTTTACCTTGTGCCCTTCTTTGGCACCTTCCACACAGCCTCCGGGTCGTGTTGCAGCTCCCCTCGGGTTGAGCTTTTCTCCTGCTTTTTGCCCTACTGTGCTACTTCGCCTGATGGTTTTCACCACGACTTTGACTCCTCCTTGGGCTTCCCTGGCGAGGGTTGGCTTTGCGGGTTCAGGGTGTTCTGGGTCTTAGCTTATGCCATGGCTGCCCCCGCGCCTCGAACTCCTGCTGACCTGGAAAGAGCTGAGAAGCGCTCCTCTTCGCTACTGGTGCCAGATCGTGTGGTACAGCCTGTCACAAGGAGCAACCGAGCGAAGCTTGCCGACGCTTTCAGCCAGTGGCTCTCTGAATATCAAGGGCGCTCCCTAACTGATCTGCTTGCTCTTCCCTGGGATCAAGTCGAACAAGTCGGCGAGGCCCTGGTCTCTTACGGCCAGTTCCTTTTCAGATCTGGGCAAGCATATTATAAGCTCTCTGAGACGATCAATGCTGTTGCCAGCCTGAGGCCTACAATCAGGAGGTCTTTGACTCGCCCCTGGGATCTGCTTTTGCCTGGCCCACTGAGGAACCCACAGTACATCACAAGGCCATGCCTAAAGCTGTCCTCTTGGCCGTGCTCACCGTTGCTCTCATTTGGGGATGGGCTGCCGAAGCAGCTACCTTTGCGCTTGCTTGGACCGGGCTCCTTCGCATCGGAGAAGTGATAAATGCTACAAGAGCTGACTTAGTTCTACCGGACGACGCTGCCCCGGGAACTCGTCACGCTTTGCTTCAGATTCGCTCTCCGAAGACGCGGGGCAGAGCCGCGCGTCATCAAGCGGCGAAGGTTGGCCCCAGTGACGTCGTTGAGCTTCTTTCCGCCATTTTCGGGCCGCTCCCTCGTGGTGCTAAGCTATGGCCGTTTTCTGATGGTGTTCTGAGAAGGAGGCTAAAAGCCATACTCACGCGACTTAACCTCCTCGAGAAGTCAGTTCCTGCGTTCGACCTTGCCTCGCTCCGCCCTGGTGGGGCGACTTGGATGTTGGCTCAGACTGAAAATGCAGAGCTTGTTCGTCGACGAGGCCGGTGGCTCTCGAGCCGAGTAATGGAGATCTACCTCCAGGAGATTGTGGCTGTCACTTTTATGCCTAAGCTATCTCCTGATGCTCGCTGTTTGGTTGAGCAACTGGCAGGATCTTTTTCTTGGGTTCTTCAGCGAGCCATTTTCCTTGAAAAGTCGCTGGTGCCCCGCAGGGCGTGGTACCATTGGTTTACAGGCCGACCGACCGCTCTCGCGCGGAAGTAATGGGATGCTTCTTCTTATGTTGGTTTTTCTTGATGCTCTTGCCTGGGAGTTTTGCCTGGTGGAGCAAAATAGCAGATGCGTTCCCAGATCGCTTTTGCTATCTTGCTTTGGTGATATTGCTTCACTGATTTTCCATGAGATTTTCTGGGCTTGCAGCTTTCATACACAGACCTCGCAAGACGCAAGGGGCAAAAGGATGTGAGTGCGCTGATGCTTGTCTATTAAGCATCGAGCCCGAATCACGTTTGTCCTTCCTGCTCAAGCTCCCACCGCTCCCGCCCGTCGTCGGCCTGGTGGAGCAAAATAGCAGATGCGTTCCCAGATCGCTTTTGCTATCTTGCTTTGGTGATATTGCTTCACTGATTTTCCATGAGATTTTCTGGGCTTGCAGTTTTCATACACAGACCTCGCAGGACGCAAAGGGCAAAAGGATGTGAGTGCGCTGATGCTTATTAAAGGTCGTATCAAATTCTTTCAGTTCCTGCGATTCCCTTATAGACTCACCAGATCTCTTGTAGAGGCAGACTTTGACAACCTGCAAGCCGTTTTCTGTTGACAGGCTTTGCTGGTTTTACTCCAGGCTGGATTTTCAGACAAGTCGGCACTGAACAAGTTGGCAGAAGCGTTTCGAAATGCTTGAGTGCGACTGACCGTGGCACAGTTTGCAAGCAGGCTGCTCCGATCGATCCAGTTAGTGAAGGTGTGAAGAAGGGAGCCTGTCATCCCAGCTTCAGTACCATGCGACTGCAGCAGTCTAGGAGTCTAGGACCTTAGGATAGTCGTGGTTTCTTCCCGGCCTCTGCTAAGGTGACTGGCCAGATGCGGGTCTTCGCCAGCCATACTCCATGCATTTCGTGCCGCTTATTGGCAAAGAGTTTTCAAGGCGGTCAGCTCCCGCAGTCCTCGAGCAATGCTTCCGGTTGGTTGTCCTTGCAGAAACCCGAGGTCTCTCTTCCATGTGCCAATTCACTAGATGTTTCGAAGGCTGGCTGTCATTGAAAGTCCAAGCTACTAATCGTTCTAAACTCCAGTTGTGTGTGTGTTGCTTTGGTAGTTAAGTCAGGCGCCGGAATCTCTGCAACGCACTCAGAGCCCCTTGCACCGTTTGTGAACAGTTCCTCGAAGGGAATGCCAAGGTCACCTACGACACCTGGAAGGAGACTCGACGATGGATTGGCCTCGATCCACCTGATGGCCAGGGCTTTCCGTGCCTATGGAGAAGCAAGTAAGTGTGCATTCTTTCGCGTCACGCCAGAAATTCCGTCCGAAGAGGATGAGGAGGAGAAGGCTTCGTCTGCGAAGATAGCAACAGGGTCCATTCCATCGCAGGTTTCGAACTCGAGACATGCACAGCTTTCGCTGGACAGGCCGGATAGTTCTTCTTGAGCGAGCTGACACTGTCTGGTTTCGACCACTGGCTGTGCTGACTGCACGCTAAGTGGCAACTGTCGTATTGAAAGTGTGATGTGCGGTAAGAGGGACACCCTTGCAGAAAGATTGACAGTTGTGTTCTGGTACGCCTTCATGTTAAGTTAGCAGTTAGCTTTGCGTCCTCGTGACTGTCTCACAGTCTCACAGCCCTGGCATGCTTCGAGTCAGATGGTATTATGACTTCCGCATAATCTATGGATGGAAGTGCATGCCAGCTCCGAAGAGACACGGATGCAGAACAAAACGTGAGAGGCAGCAGCAGCTCAGGGGAAGATCACGCTGATAGCAATCCTTTCTGAAATCTCATACATGGTGCAGACTTAGATGCCCAGCGTCCACTCTGAAGTCTGTAGAGGGCACATTAAGGGGCCGGTGTTATGGGAAGCTATGTGCGCTGGTGTCAGGGGAATCAGTGCCCATGCTGGATCCAGAGGAGTCGAGGCGCCTGGTTTCGGTAGGAGATGAGCTCAGGATGCTGCAAAAAAAACCCGTCGAAATCCTAAGTGGCAGCTCTCCTCTCCAGGCAAGGGTTCTCCCAAGCAGCTCTTGAATTTCTTGCACTGCCAAGCAGTGTGGTTAGCGCTTTGTGCTTTTGTGCAGACGGGCTCAGCATGCATGGGCCGAGCGGCCAGTAGGCCAGCCGTAAACATGTAAAGAAGAGTCTGCAAACGGTCAGTTGCATCCTTCAGTGAGTAGCACCTGGTAAGCCCAGAGTGCACGGCAGCATTTCACTGCCATGGCAGCGTTGTCAGGGCCTTGAAGCTTGGTTTGCGAGGGCAGCGAGCATGTTAGCTTACGAGTATCGCCTAGGTCATCGAACTTTGTGGTATGGCGTGACCACGCCCAAGCCCCACTCCACCACGGTCTTGCACAGGGCGCAGCAGGTGGCCTTGCATCTCGAGTTGTTGCCAGGGTCTGCGAAAGCAATTTGCTCCGCTCGATCTTGGTTGTCGATGGAGCCTGTTGTTGAAACGATGGCATCCATGATGCTTTCGGAAATCAGTTGCTAGTTGCAAGGCCAGCGGCTGGGCAGAATTTCCCCGTCAAGTTCAACAATGACAAGTGTGGTTGCTGCCTTCAGCAGCGTGCCTGCGTTTTGTTTGCACGCTGTTTCGACTCTGCCTTCTGCTGCTGGATGTATCCCTCAAAACTTGCCAGTCGCAAGGGGTTTCAGTGGCAGTGGCAGTCGATGCAAGGGATGCGACAGCGTTGGTGCTAAACTCGAAGTCGGCCTGCTATACAGCTTTTACGAAGTCTCTGTATAAAACGATGCCACTAGTTTGTTTACGTGCTTTTGCCGTTTTGCTATGAATAACGATATGCTCACATGGCACTGCCGATAGAACAACACGGCTGTTTCAACTGAACCACCAGTCGTAACAGTCTCTACATGACAACATGCGGTTCTAAAGTCGTTCGGGATTTAGGTCAGCAAGGCTGATGACTCTTAGAGAGGATTTAACGTTCAGAGGTCATGGTTCGGATTCAGGACTTCAAGGCTTTGGGATTTAAGAGTTGACAGTGTGGCTTACGAACATAAAGGGGAACCGGCAGACTGCTTCCGTCGCGTAGTTGTCCCTTTTTGCCCATCCTTGTGTTTGTGCATGCTTCGTGCACACAGACGTGGATGTGCAAGTATATGTACATACACGCACGGGTGTATGTGTCTTTCCATGGGTTGTACAGCTCAATGCATCACATTCTCTTGCGCACCTATTTACGACAATAGATTGCGTTGTTCGCTTCCTATCTGTATGCGTGTGTCGGTGGGTGTGTCGATGTTAAAGTTCTTGTCCGAATAAATTACGAGTTACCCTCAAGCTTCTCCGCCGAAAAACTGGATGGAGTCTGCAGGGCTCCGACTCGCGACTGTTGCAATTCAGGGCCTTACAGCAAGGGACAGCCCCGCAACCACGACCCCCACTACAACTGCAAACAGACAACCATCCAGTGTGCGCACAGCCGAACAAAACGACCCTTGTGGGGTTGTGAGCTGCTCAGCAGTCAATGGCAACTCGCGAAGCCGAGCTGTCATCGTCAGCCCGGCGGTCATGCGCAGCGGCTCATCGACTTCCTCCTGCACTCTCGCAGTCCGAAAACGCTCTGCAAAAAACTAATTCCCAAAGCAGGCCTCAACACAGACGGCGGGAGCCCTTGAACGCCTTCGCCTGCGAGCCTCCGAGCTCCGCGACCTTTGCAGTCGCGCTGGTATGTTCCGTGTTCGGTGATCCAAGCCGCCGCAGGCCCATTGCGCTGTTATGCATGTCTCCAGGGTTGGCTCCGGCTCTACACCTTTGAGGCCCCCACCTTGTCAGCAGTGCATGGTTCCAATCGCTGTGTGACGCTGATGCATCCCTGTCGTCGTGCTCAACAAATTTTGGTGCAAAAGCTCCAGCATGATTGCAAAGTGGAGAGACGAAGTGCATGCCAGCTGAGTGCATACAACAGCGAATCCCCGCAAAACTGGTTGTTCAAACAATGACGCAAACCGGCACCATTTAAGAAACTGCTTCGGGCGGTGCCCCGACTGGCAAGAGGTTTGAGATGAGTTTACAAAAAGTTCGTGAAGTTTGAACCGCAAATACGATGACTACGGGGAACTGTTGAGATGCACCCTGCTAGTACCAGAGGGCACCACGGCATCTCCGTAGCCCACCGCACTATCGTGGCTCGCCTCTGCCAGCTCGGAAACCATGCATGCAAGCATGCTCACCCACCAACACTGCTCCAGTGTGCTCCAGCGGTGGACGTGAGCGGTAAACTTGCAGCATGTGCTCGCTTACGGGCATTTGCTCATTTGCTCACGGCGCAGCACGCCTCGTCTGCCGCGCGTGGCGGGCGCCATGCGCTGAGCAATTCCCTGTTACGCACGGTGCGGCGCCGCCCCGGTTTAATAACGATGTCGCGCTTGGGGTGACAGAGGGACGAGCCGCCCCGTGATGAGCGCGCCTGCGACTAGACAGTGAATGTTGTTCTTGCTAACTTTTCGGGCCGCGGCTTGGTTCCTGCTGAGGAGAGCCACATACCCGGAGCTGGTGCAAAACGGTTCCCGGCGCCTTCGTTCTTGAAAAGTGTCGGCTGTTATGCATGCAACACTAGCGCGTGGTATTTGAATCTTATTCCCGGACCCCATGTTCGGTCAGAGTGCTCAGCCCTGCTGCATCGGCGACTTCCAGCACCAACTCATACCGCAAACGTGGATCACGCCGCTGCGACCTGGACTTGCTGTCTGATGGCAGTCTCTTGCGCTTCATCTTTGCACCGCTTGGGATGGGCAATACCCGTTCGGCCACGCATGCCCATGTGCTTTTCGTTGCGGGCATTTTCTAAGCGCAACGATTTTCGCTTGAGGGCTTAGGGCTCTGGTCTTGGTAGCATTAGCGTGCTTCTGCTGCTGTGTTGTAGCATATAATGTTTCACGTAGTTTTCGTAGGTCGGTTGTTTCAGGACTCTTGCTGCTGCTTCTGGCGCCCGTGGTGGTGTTCAGCAGGTGCAGCCATTCCCCTTGCCGGATTATTTGCCCATGCCCTCTTGCATCCGCGCAAAATTTCTCAGCGATGTCAGTTACCATAGGTTTTTACGGGGTTTGCATCCGCGCAATCATGTTCTTGCGACGTCAATCAGCTACCTCTCCGACGAAGTGCTAGCGACAGCTGATTGGATGCGCTCGCATTCGCGAGGTCCGGGACATCTCCCAAATGGGAGCATGTCCGACATTCCGCGTTGCGGGAACATGCGCGCAGCGCGAGGGATAGCCTGCAGCAGGGCGACCAACAACACGTTCCATTCGCGAGGCGCCGTTTTTTCCGTCTGCGGCCACTTGTCTTCGACCGATTAATTGCAGCCGATGCAAGCCTCACACGGTGCGTTGGCAAGCGGCTGCGCATCAACGGGAGGCTGTGCACGTCCGCAAAAACTTCGTGCAGTTCCGGCACCTTACCCGCGATGCGTCACCAGCGGCCGGAAGCTCGTCAAGCAGGAGGCCGCGTAGGCACGCATCGCAACAACAGTAACATCGAGCATGCCAGACCACCTTTGCACCCAGCCTGCGCGCGCAGCCGCTCGTAGCGCGTGGCATCCATCACGAGCTGTGGGCAAGCCATTAGCGACCACCTCGATGCGGCGTGAGTCGCTGACAGGCACATCGACGTTCATGTCAGCAAGCGCTATCCGTGCCCCGACCTCGCGACACGCGCGGGCAACAGCATGCTCCAGCGAAACGGCCCGGAAACAGATTGGATGGCTCCTTGCCCGCTGCGTTCCACACGCGGGTTTTGCCCTTGGGCACGGGTTCACAGCGCGGCGCTGCGGGTGGCATACAACGCATGGAGGAGCGAGGATCGATCAGGCGGGCACATGACTTATGTTTCGTCCAAAAACGCGACCATCGCCTCAACCTGCACGAGGGTGGCCACAACATCCGCCACACTTCATGCTCAGCCCCAGCATCGTCTCTCCAAAGTTGGCGGTTTTCGAGCTTGCCTGGAGACGTGGTCAAAAGCCCTCCACGGCGTCAGCGGAAGTGCGGAGCTGCATTGGCGCCAGTGCATGGCGAAATACCGCTCCTCAGCGACGTCCTGGCTGACAGCAGCGCATCATCTCCGGCGTCGGACTCGAGGAGGCGCACATAAGTGGCCGTGTTGGAGGGCAGGCGTGCGTTGCAGGCAATGGCGCCCAGCGCACTTGGCAGGGCGGCAACTTGCCTCGCATGGGCGGCTTCCGCGTCGCCCATTCCGCCGAGCATGGTCTGCAGCGTCGTCCTTATGGCATCATCATGTCCCCGCGCGTGCGTCGCAGACGCCGAAGGGGGCACGGTGCGAATGGCGTGAGGAGACGCGCGTATTAGCAAAAGCAGCCATGCACACTGCAGGTCTGGCAGCTTGGGCAGTTGGTCGAGGAGCTCTTGCTCCGCGCGCAACCTGTCCTCGGCCCGTGCTTGCACGAAGGCTGGGTGG